CAGAAGCATCTCAGGCCATGCAATTGATCTAAAACGTAGATCTAGCCTCCTACAACCCATCCATCACGTAAAGTGGCAAACTTTACGTGAATCCATGAAGATCTAAGCATAATACACATTAGGGCTAAGGTTTGGGACAAGATAGCTTCACTACATACTCAATCACAGAGACTTTCAGGCATTCCAACCCTTCTCCATTCCAGATCTGAGGTAGCAACCTCAGATCTAACCTCTAGACTTCAAAACACCAAAAGATGTGATCACATCATCCCCAAAAGTGAAGAATCTAGACAATAGCAGCTCAAGAACAAGATTTTACCTTCGAAGGATGCCCCAATCTGCAAGGAACTCGAAACCAAGCAAAGCCCCTTGCTCCACACCTTCAAACCTCCAAACTTTCTTCAAAAATTACTTCTCCAAGCTTCAATCCACTCAACAAAGGTGCTTCTCCACAATTTTAGGGGTTCTAGGACTCAAGGGGGTGATAAAGGAGGCTGTGGTGGAACATAATGGTCTTTATATAGGGCTCAACCCCGAGAATTAGGGTTTTCTCCACACAGCACCTACTCGCCGAGTCCATCTTTGGACTCGCCGAGTAGGCCACTTGACACGCGACCAAAGTCGCGACCTGACTCACCGAGTCCATCCATGGACTCGCCGAGTCACCCTCCGAAACTTACGCTTTTAGCCCTTCAACTCTACTCTTTCAATTCCGAGATGTTACAGCATCACTGTTGCCTCATGTTTATTTCTTTTTGGTTCAGGATGTGTTGGAGGCTTTTATGATCTGTGAAAATGGTGCACTTCGTATCGTAGAGGTAGTGCCTCCAAATCTTCAAAGCAAAGACCACAACTCCCAGCTCGAGATCATGAGTGGTATAGTTTAGTTCATGGGACTTTAGTTGTCTGGATGCATAAGCTATCACTTTCCCGCGCTGCATAAGTACACAACCTAACGCTTTGTTAAAAGCATCGCAATACACCACAAAATCTTCCATTCCTTCTGGCAAAGACAACACTGGAGCATTTCAGAGGGCTTTTTTCATGGTTTGAAAAGTAGCTTCTTGTTTTGCACCCAAGTTGAAGGGTATGCCTTTCTGAGTTAGAGTGGTGAGGGGCTAGGCGATCTTCGAGAAATTCTGAATGAACCTCCCATAATAACTAGCAAGGTCCAAGAATTGTCTGATCTCCGTTGGTGTTCTCGGGGTTTCCCAGCCCTTGATAGCTTTGATCTTGGATGGGTCCACGTGTATTCCCTCTTCACTGACCACGTGTCCCAGAAAATCCACCCTGCGGATCCAGAACTCGCACTTGGAGAATTTTGTGTATTGCTTTTCCACCCTTAGGGTCTTCAGGACCTGCCGTAGTTGTTGGTTGTGTTCCTCCTTGCTCCGAGAATAAACCAGTATGTCATCGATAATGACTATCATGAAGTTGTCAAGGAACGGTCTGCAGACTTGGTTCATCAGATCCTTAAATGATGCAGGTGCATTTGTTAGACCGAATGAAATAATCACGAATTTATAGTACCCGTAATGATTTCGGAAGGCATTTTTAGGGATATCTTATTCTCGGACTCGCAATTGATGGTATCCAGATCTCAGATCTATCTTTAAGAAGTAACTGCTCCTTGTAATTGGTCAAATAGATCGTCGATCCTAGGAAGAGGGTATCGTTTTTTGACGGTGAGCTTGTTGAGTTCATGGTAATCGATACACATGTGGAAAGAGCCATCTTTCTTTTTGAAAAATAAAACCGGAGCTCCCCAAGGAGAAAAACTCAGTCTTATGAATCATTTGCTTAGCAGTTCGCTCAACTGGCTAGATAGTTCTTGCATTTCAGCAGGGGCTAATCTATACGGCGACTTTGCAATTGACGTGGCTCCGGGTACTAGGTCGATTTGAAATTCGACCTGTCACTTAGGGGTATTCCCGGGAGGTCTTCAAGAAATACGTTGGGAAAATTACATACCTCTTAGATATCCTTGATGTTCTTCCCCTCTTTCTGTTTATTCACTACGTGGGCTAGAAAGGCGTGATTCTTTTTATGCAAGCACTTCTATGCCTTGATGCACGAGATAAGACGGAGGTTTGTACTGGGTTTATCGCCATATATAATTAGTGTTTCGTTGGTGGGTAGGTGAAGGTCAACGGCCTTATCGTGGAACATAATATTAACATGGTGGGAGCTTATCAAATCCATACCAATGATCACATCGAAGCTTTTAATATTAATCGGCATCAGGTTGATTTGAAATGAGTGGTTATTTAATGTTAACGTCCACCCTATGAAAATGTCGTTTTTTGTTTCAGTTTTCCCATTAGCCATTTCCACTGTGAAGGCTGTGTTTAACTTTTGGGGACTTTGATTTAGTAAGTGCTTAAACTTATGGCTTAAGAAACTTCGTTCCGCCCCACTATCAAACAAATTGCATGCATAGATGTTGTTGAGGGGAAACGTACCGGTGACTACCGCTAGATCTTGTACAGCCTCTCATTGTCCCATTCTTAAGACCGTGCATGATCCCCTTGCACCTTGAATGTTGGCTTTGGGATAGTTTTGTTTGAAATGGCCATTCTCCCCGCACCCGTAACATGCTCGATTGGCCCCAACGTTTTTGGGTTGGTTGTTTTGATGTGGTTGCATTCTGCAATATCAGGCAGTACGCCCCTTTTGATTGCAATTGGTGCATTGTAAGTCTCGACATGCGCCTCTGTGGTGGAAACTACATTTGCCACATTTTTGTTAAGTGTCTGTGTATAGCCTTGCAGGTGTCGGTGTGGTTGATGCTGGTACAGCTAGAGTTGGTGTGGTTTGGGTGATATCAGTCTGAACTGCTACCTTTTGTTGTTTCTTAAATGATTCTTTAGTTTGTCACCCTTTTCTTTTGTTTCCCCATTTTTTCTTGTTGTTATCCTCCTTCTTTGTTTCAGCGCTGGAAGTCTTCGTGTCCTTTCCATCCCCATAGTCGTACAACTTTTGTGCTAGTCGTTTCGCACTGTCGAAAGTCGAGGGGTTAGCAGCAATCACGTTCCCCTGAATTGGAGGAGTTAGTCCCTAGATAAACCATTCTACTTTCTTGCTTTCAGAAGTTATCATTGTCGGGCACAAGAATGCCAACTCATTGAACCGGGCAATGTATGCTTCAATGTCAGAGTTCTGCATGGTAAGATTCCATAGTTCTTGCTCGAGTTTTTGCACTTCACCTCGGGGACAGTACTCATCCACCATCATAGTTTTGAGATCTTCCCATGACATAGCATTTGCGACTGGGAGAGTTAGGGCCTTGACATGGCCGTTCCGCCATGAAAGGGCCATGTCAGTAAACGTACAAGCTGCAAATCTTACTTTGCTTTCATCTGGACACCCGCAAATCTTGAAAACAGACTCGGTCTTTTCGATCCACCGGGTGAGAGCTATTACACCTCCACTTCCGTTGAATGACTTCAGTTTTGCATTGGTGAAGTCCTTGTAAGTGCATGTTCTTTGGGGCCCTTGGTTACCCCCATGGTTGGAACTTCACGTCCCATTTCCGTTACCTCCTCCGTTTGTGCCCTGGTTGATGTGTGTTAATGCGACTATAACTGCAGCTGAGACTGCCTCCTGGAAAGTAGCGGAATTCATCTTTAGTGGAGCCGGCGGTGGTGGTGGTTTTGCTTTAGTGTTTTTGCGAATACATCTTCTAGGCATTTCTTGCTATGAGACAGGAATGGTGATGAGTTTATGGAAACCACTTATTTTAGTGGTTACGGTGGTTCGAGTGTACTTACAATTAAACTGCATTATATCAAATATAAATGAAAAGAGAGAACATAGCAGATAACAACATCACAAATAAAACACATAATCGTTTCATTAATGAAAGCGTTTCAGTACATAGTGCATGAAAATTGACCTTTTAAAAAGGTCTACAATACATAAAGCATAAAATCTGGCAGCATATCGACCCTGCGAGTAGTGTGATCACTTAAACGTAGGGTCAATCCTACATACATAGAGACAGAAGGATAACACCAACACACACCACTACTAGAAAAACAGCCTTTTACGACGCGCAAACCACGACACTCATTGATTTATGTTACGCAAAAGAGAGTAACGTTAAAAAAGTGTCATCTCTTCAAAAAAATTATGGATTTACGTCACGCATTATTGCGTGCCCTTAAATTAGTGTCTCATGTAAAAATATAAAAAACACGGAGGGCACTTGTGCGTCCTCTGGAATTGTCACTTTATATTTTTTTAAGAAAAGCGCGTCTCCGAGGGAAAATGAAATCCCAAATTTTTTAAACCCCTAACTTCTTCTTCCTCATCTCCACCCCTCACCCACATCCACTGCCTCCAATCGTCGTTGCCTCTTCTAGCCTCAAACTGCAACGATGCACCTTCTTTCTCGAAGAATGCTTTATTTACCACCATCGTCCGATTATGTGAGCCCAAGGAATTGATGGAGACGAAGAAGATTATGGATCAATCGCTTCACATCATGTTTAAGGTTAAGGGTTTGAGATTTCTTCCAAATCGACCCTCACACTAAATGGTTTGATCTCCTCTTTTTTTTATCTTGTTCCCTACCACCATCGATGTTGATCTTTGAATTAGCAACAAGAAGCCCTAGGGCCTCCGCCTTCACCCACCTCTAGCACCTCCTACATTTATTAATTCAATCTCATCCCTCTCTCTACTCCTCTCTTTCTCTCTATCTCCCTCTAACCTAAAAGTTTCAAAATGGGAAAAAGCTCCTTCATCTTATCTTTAAACTCATCCCCCTTAGCCAACTGATTTGTATATAACCACAATCACCTCATCAATCGCATCCTCAATCTTCTTAACAACCGAAGTCAACTTCTCACCAAGCTTCTCATCTTTTGCTGTGTTCCTCATGTTATACGTATAATTCTCAATATTATCCTTTGAAGGTCTTCCCTTGTCATTAGTAATTGTAATATTGTTGTTTTGCCCTGTACCTTGCAATATTATCTTTCAAGAAGACCCTTCACATGCTTTCCCAAATTGGAACGATACCATATGTAAGTTTGGAGACGAAAAGTCGCCGCTGTCCCCCTTCCATCGGTACTACTTCATTTTTTCATCTTGCGCTGTGTTCCTCATGATTGATTAGTTTTTGTTAGAAAATGTCATTTGGTTTCCTTTCCTGTATTTATTTCTCAATTTTTTTTGGTTCTGTGAGAATTGAAAGGCCATATATTCTGATCAACATAATGTGCACATTATGTGTTTGTTAAAATGTCTAAACCAAATTTTAAGCTTTAGTAGACCACTTAACGTATCACATCAGCCATGATACATTTTAAGCTTTAGTGCACATTATATGGTGTGGCATTTATAAATTTTTATAAACTTTTACAATTGTAGTTGTACATTGAAGAATTTGACAAATTTCAGCTGCTTGTGCCTTTTTCTTAACTTTCTTGTTTACTGGACATATTATTGCATTAAGGGTCTTATCTGTTCTAATTATCCTTTTCTTTTTGTAGATTAAGGCACTGAAAAAGGATGTTGTGAAGCTATTTGAAAATTTATATAAATATGGTTAGTGCATGAATTATATTCTAACATGGGAGATATCGTTATTTTTTACACATGCTTCCTGTTTTTATACAATTTTGTAGATGATGGGGCCAATTTCTTTGATGATCAACATCAAGGTCCTGTTTTAGCCACCTCATCAGTTGTTTTTGGGCTAACAACTTTCACTTTCGCTTCCGGAAGTTTTAATATATGACACAATCTTATTATGTTTCTAGACACCACTTGTATTTCCTATGCTCATAATTTTAAATTTTATAATTCTTTTTATTTGATATTTGCAGATACTAGGGGACAAGATATTGGGTTTGGCAAGATTTTTTCTTGGGATTGGAATCCTTGGCAATAGCAAGGATTTATATCACCAAATTGATGCTTTAGATTGCTTAGATCAAAACAGGCAAGTGCATAACATTCTCTATTAAGTCTTAACACATTTACTCTTGAATCTATTGGCATTTTTGTTTTTTATTTTTCGTTTAGGGAATTAGTTCCTCTCAATTTATCACTTCCAGCTAGTGTCCTTTCATTTACCAGCCAAGACAAACTTAATGTGTGTTGATTCATTTGGTGACCTATTTCATTACATTTCATGTTCCAATTTTCCCGTCACAAGGGGGTTCTGGTCCATCTTCAAATCGTTACAATTCTGCTAAGGAGATTGATCACCTTGAGCTTTCTGATATTCATGCAGTCATGAGATATTTTTTTTTTAAAAGTGTTTAAAGCTGATTCTTGGTGTATGTGAACAGACTTGTGCAGGTGCTGTTGTGCTTACTGACCTTGTATTTTGGTGCCTATTACTCCCGTTTCAGTCTGGCGATGGCTTCAAGCTTACCCTGGTTAGCATATTTTGTCCCTTGCCCCTTTTCTTTCATTCGGATTTGGGAATACAATACCAACCTCTCACACTCTTCAAAAGAGATTTAAATCTCCTCCTTTTTCCTTTTGCTTCCTGGAAATAATTATCATTCTCTTTTTATTGTTTGCTACCTCATAACAAATATATCTGTACATTATGATTCATTCGGGACTGTTGCTGTTGGCATTCTGATTCAAAGTTAGTTTGGCTATAAATAAATCTCTGTTGTGATTGCAGTTGATTGGTTGCATGCACTCCCTGAATGTTGTTTTTCTCCTCCTGGATTCTGCTCTCAACAACCTAGTAAGTGATTGGATCGCATTCACCAATTGGTTATTCACTATATTAATGATCCTAATAAGTGTCGAGCTGATGCCATTATCTCACTGTTTGTCTTTTTCTTGTGCCCCTTGTAGCAATTTACTTGGCACGGGTTAACATACTTTTTCTTGTGGAGCTCAGCTTATATAATTTTCCAGTGGGTTATGCATGTCTGCTGCTTTACATGGTGATTTCCACTTACCAGAACCCACTTCTTTTTTCATTTATCAATTATTTACTATAAATTTCTCGGGATTGAAGTTTGAGAGGCTATTGCAGGTGGCCTTATCCCTTCCTGGAAATTGCTACTCCATGGGCTCCCATGTGGTATGTTGCATTGCATCCAATGAAATATATATATATATATATATATATATATATATATATATATATATATATATATATATATATATGTCGGGGGTGGATATGACTTTTCACATCCTGCAGGTACTTTGGCATCGCTTTAGTTCACCTTCCATGTTACGGACTATATGTTTGGCTTGTGAAAGTGAAAGCATCGATGCTGTCAAAAATGTTTCCGCAAGCATTTATAGTCCAACGTGTGGTTTTCGTTTACAATCTACTAAGGAGAAAGATCACACAAAAGGGGTAATCCCGGGAATCTCAAGACGGGCAGATTTATGGTTAGGTACAGTCTTGATGAATAAAGGTGCCCGAGTGAATACAAAAAGACGGGTCGGACCCGTACCTGGTGTCGATATTGGTAATGTTTTCTTTTTCTGAACGAAGCTCTGTTTAGTGGGATTACATTCTCCAATCATGGCAGGGGTGGTACCAATATACAGATCATTGAGTGAGGGATCAATAGAAATGGTCTGTACATAATGACTTAATAGCGGTAAGCCTGGTGGGCAAAAAAACTTGCTTCTTTAACTAGGGTATCATCAACAGTTCAGGCAAGTCAACTTTGTCCTTTTTTGTAAAATTTAATATGATTATATAAATTATTTACGAAATTCAAAAAGAAAAAAGACAAAAAAAAGTATCCAAGTTGTTGTCTTTTTTGTTTTATGTAGGCTTAATTTGGTGCTAATGCTATGATTGATGATTGGGAAGAGAATTTGGCTATGATTACTGCTAAGATGACCAAAGATGTTGAATTGGTGCTTATTCATCTCGGAGATTGTTTATGGAAGAAAACAAGTAATGTAAGTTCCATAATTCCATTAAGTAATAAAAAAATAAAAAATAAAAAAGAATATTCATGTTTGGTTATGAGGTTGTGAATGTGGACAGATGACAAGTAGTTTACATCATTTTTAAGATGATGGACTCGAGTAATTGGTCATCCGGTAAGCCTAATTAGATGTGATCAAGAGATTGAAAATATATCACTTACCTATTGTGAATGTGGTGCAACTGCTCTATTATATTATACACTTTGACATCAACAATTCAAAAACTTTAGGTAAATGTCCCATTGGATATTTAACTTTTGGTATAAGCGGTTTGTTTAACTAATAGGGTATCATGTAACATGATGTCAATTTCACCATGATTTGAGGCTTAATTTGATTAATGTAATGATAAATCTGATTTACAGGGGAATTTACATGTTAGTATTGTATATGGAGGTGAAGAAAGTCTGCAACTTACATGGCCTAAAATAGTTTTTGAGCATAAATGTCTTGGCTTTGTTGACTCTTTATTGATTTGTGTATTAATCATGATTTCTCACCATTCTAGTAAATTGGAGTTTGTGCCATCAACTTGCAAGCTTAATTCTATTTTCATTCTTTTATTGTTTGGTGCAAGTATCTCAAACCTTTATAAAAATGGTTAGATCCTAACAGGTCTTTTTCTCCTAAAGAGTACAAATGCAGATTTGGAACGCATGACCCTTTATATCATATCAGGTTAATCTATTTTCTCCTAAAATTAAGTTTTTATCAATGGAAACTAATGATTTGCTGTTTAGCTTGTTAATGAAATCTATTTTATTAAATTGAGTTTTGTTTATGTCATGGTCATGACAGATTTGGAACGCATGACCCTTTATACACTTGTCTTCTACTTGCTTATAGCCTTACACCATAAGACAAAGTGATGGAGTTTAAGTAAGCGCAAACTTGTTCTGGAGTGATTTTAGGAGACATTTCTGGAGATTTTGTTGTCACACATATTGAAGATGAGATCCTTCAAGCTTCCATTGTTGCTTTAACTGCATTTTTCATGTCTTTTTTCTATAATTTAATTATAGATAAAGCTACCTTGATTTGATATTTGCATTTTAAATTTGCTACAGAAGAGGGGTAAAATTGGGAAAAGAATAGTTTAACATAATTACGCCTCTGTTACAACTATACTTACTCTTCATTTAGTGATTTTCTTTCACTTTTTTTGGTTTATTATATCATTTAATAGATACTTATTCAGGTATTATCTTTTTACAAATCCTATCTGGCTCGTGAAAACACAATTACAACTTCAAACTCTCCTCAAAACACTTGCGCATATACTGGCTTAGCTGGTATGCTTCCATTCCTTCTGTTAATAACTAAAAAGATGAAATTACCCTTAGTCCTCCACCTCACCATGTGTTGTTTGATCCAAATGACCTTGTTTACATCATCGTAAGATTCATGAACTTGTACCCTTATGGCCTTATCTAATTCTAATTGTTTTGATGTGGATTAGGCAAGGAACATATACCAGTGTTCATAAGGCTCTGTGATTAGAAGTAAAGCCAATTGTGGGAAAATACTTAATGAGCAGAATAACCTCTTTGAAAGTTTGCTTCTTTGAATTATAAGGTGCATTTTTTTAGCTAATTAAATACAATGACAAGTACTACTGAATTTCCTATAAAATATAAGGCCATGCACTGAGTTAAACTACTTACAAAAAACGATAAAATGGGTGTAAAAGCTTTAATAAAAAGTACTAGCAAAGATTTGTTCTGTCTTACACTTTTGATTGAAGAGAAAACTGGAAGTATGCTGGTCCTTTTTAATAATATAAGATATCTTTATATCCGGAAGTAATGGGTTTAAAAAAGGTTTAATTTAGAATCGTAATATTACAACATTTTTTAGGTAATCATTTTGAAAAACACATCCACACTCCTGCTTAAAAAGACAACGGGTATTAAACTTTTGTTTGATGACTAATAAAATTTCTTCATTTTCCTCAGATGCACACCTGCTACTTGTTGACTTGCCAGAGCTAAAATCTTTGACCAACAGGTAGTTACAAAAGTTGCCTTTTGTTATCTATTATTTCTAGTGCATTATTTATTTATTTATTTTTGCTTTCCTTGATCAATAAACTTTTAATGGTTGTTGAAAGTCATTGGTATAGGTATAGGTATAGAAGCATGATTATCTGTCCTGATTATATTTGGTGTTACTTATGTTTATCTTTGTACATAATATAATTTGTTTAATGACTAATAAAATTTAACAGAGGCAAAGTAATGAATAAATCTTACTTACAAAATGATCCAAAGAATCATTTTAGTGTTGTATTGTATTGCATGTTAAGTTACCGATTTACCATGTGCAGGTTCTGACAGCTCTAGCAACCTCCTTCCATGCTGTACAACCTCTCAAAGTTCCTGCATTCAGGTTATTCTTTTAGAAAGGAAATTGTCAAAGGAGAATTTAGTCATGGGTTTCTTTTAATGTTGTACATGTTTTGTTTTCTATAATAAATATTATGCAATATAGAAATGTGTTACATTTACTTACTATTGGAATGATTATTTGTATTTGACATACTAGTGCAATGAATTATCTTTATTGTTTATGGTATTTTATTTTTTATTATGAGACTTTTAGTGTGTTATTTAATTTGAAAATTAGTAAATCTATCAAAAATATATAATTCTAAAAACATTTAAATTTATGACACGCAAAAATGTTTGTCATCTTCATTTATGACATGGCCTTTCTTGACAGGGGATTTCTTGATACGCATGGCTTGTCATCAACACGCGCGTCGTAAGGTTACGACACGCGAATGCGTGTCGTCTTCCTTTATGACAGGTCATCCCTTGATACGCATTGCATGTCATAAATGTGCGTCGTAATTGCGCATCGTATATGAGCGTCGTAAATGCGTGTCGTCTATAGATGACGCGCAAAAGCGCGTCGTCTCTCTTTATGACAGGGCCTTCCTTGACACGCATTTGCGCGTCATCTGAGCCTTTTACAACGCGCAATGAGCGTCGTAAAAGGCTGTTTTTCTAGTAGTGCACCCATAATAAGACTACTACAAGGTAGTGGGTAGGATGAGTCCTACTCACAACGAGTGGCCCCCAGCGGTGCTTGTAATGACGTGGAAACGCCCTGAAACTCGACTAATCGGTACTCAACGTCTCACACCCTTGACTCTAGTGTAGCTTGTCGCTCGTGAAACGCCTTCACGGGGTTCTATGTGCACCTCTCTGCATGCTCCACTGCGGCTCTGGTCTTAATCATCTGGTTGGCAGTCACCTGTGCCTGGTCACCAATGTCTCTGGTCCGTCAGACCATCACCGGAAGAGCTCGGTCCGCTGGGCCTCCATGATGGAGGTTGTAAATTCCTCGCTCAATACCGAACGGGGGGCACTGATGCTGGTGTCATCTCTACCTCTAGATGTCGAGTGCCCAAGGGGCCATATGGCCATTGCAGCCCATCCGATGTGATGGCACTATCACAATGTAGGGTAGGTTGATGACTCTAGACTCTGCATCCGAGTCATCTTCCCCCCTCCCCATCCTCATCAATGTCTTCATTGATATCCTCTTCTGCAAACTCCTCCAGGTCCTCCTCCATCTCCTCCTCGAGCCATTCTGCGTTCCCCAGATTTGGGTGAAGAGTGTCTCCAAGATGATGGAAGCCAGTCATAGAGTCTGCACAAGAATATATAAGTACATGAAAATATATATAATGTTATGTTCCTATGGTATCTTATGTCCTTTAGTTTTGTTCTTACACCCCTTTTTGATTTACTACTAATGAGTTTTAGATTTGCTGTCCACCTTGACCACTCCTAGACACATGTTGGCCGTATCTTGAATAAATATAGTTGATCAGGCTATATTTACCCTAGATTTGATTACATAACTATCTAAGTTTATTCATGATGTTCAACTTTTCTTATTATTTTCTAATATGCAAGTATGTATGTATACCTTGGTAAAATATTTATATTTTTAAAGTATACTTTTAGTCAGAATACTTGAGTCCCGTTGTATTTATAATTGTGTATCTTGTCTGGTTAGATATACTAGTTCACTATAGAAAATGCTCTGATACCAATCTGTCACACCCGCGAACTGGGACGACGGAAACATCTCGGAGCGGGTGACTTCATCTTGTAATATAATAACAATTGAATATGAATGAAACTGAGCAACCAGACATCATACATTAAAGATACCAACATGCATTGTTTACAAATTGTATTTGTTCATGAAATTACATCCAAAAATAACACAATGTATGATATTTCAAAATACAATAATTATCCAAAATCCGTAGCTGAATACCTGCTCACTGAGTCCCTAAGAATACAAGTCGTTTTAAAAAGCGTCAACATAAAATGTTAGTGAGTTCATAAGCATATTTATAAGAAAACTTTGTAATAGTTTGTAAAACTCCAGAAAATCCAATAATTTCTATAAAAATGATTTGTGAGTCTCGTTCCAAATCATGTATAATTGCATGTGTCTTCTTTGTTTTTCCTTGTTTGAGATTATAAAGAAAGTGTTCGTAGAAAATCCTATATTTTCTGACAT